ATTTTCCTTTCGACTCCACTTTCAACTTTCCTTTCTCTTATTCTTCATCCCAATGGGCAGCCAAAAGACAGCAACCAAACCAGTTTTGCCCTGTGATGAGAGCGAAGGTTCAACAACAACAACAACGAACAGGTTTAGCGCATGGTACTATTCTCACACAAATGAAGAACACGATCAAAGATGCCCTGATTCTTCTCCCATTTCTGAGCGCCCAGTAGATGGATCGGCAGTGACCAGGTCTCGGGGTGGCTCAACCCATTGCACACCAGTTGTCCTCTGAATATTTTACATTTGCATTTATTCTCTTTTGCATCCACCACTGGTGATAACACTGCACAAAAGAATTTGGCGCTCAGGTGCATTAGATCTAGTCCTCCTGGATGCTCCTAATCGGCTGTGATCCGTATAGCTTATTAACCGCTTGCCTTTATAATTCCTTTCTCTCAGACCAAAATGACCTGATACGTGACTAGTGGCGTCGTTGCAAAGGCTAACGCATGTTCCGATAAGATGCAACGAACAAAACATTATCTTAATGTTCAACTCAACAATTTCTGCAAATGTTGCAAGAATGGTTCTTTAACAGTATACACTATTCATAATCATGACCATCATCATTAACATCGCACAGTGAAGAGAACTTTACTGTTCGCTGCCAAACTCATAACACGTGCAATGTAAGTGAGAGTGTGTAAGCAGGATAGGGGTTAGACATATTTTGTGGGAGAGAAAGTGAATCACTATGGTGAACACACAGAGTACACAGTCTAACTGGGCATACACACTACTTCAAGCATTTTGAACTGATAAGAAGCGACGGTGGGCGGTGGTGGCCAAGTGGTTAGGTCACCAACTAGTGACCTAGGTGTCCCGGGGTCAAACCGCTCCACCGCCGCCCGTCTTCCCTATATCTGTATTTTCCCTAGGCATCCTTTGTATGGCCGCAGCCCCCTTCCTGAAATTTGAATGCACATTTGTATATTCAATAAATAGAAAAAGGAAGTAAAAAGATATCTTTTTTAATTTTAACAAGATAGCCACTGCTGTCTTCAACTGTCTAGTTACAGAGTCTTTTGGACCCCAACCCGGAAGGGGAGGGACACCTAATCTACCTAATCGCTCTGTGCAACAGCAACAGATGACGTGGAGACGAGGCATGAAGAAATGCACAGAACCATTAGGTAGAGTAGGTGTCTCTCGCCTTCCAGGTTGGGGTCCGAAAGACTCCACAACTGGTTCGTTGGAGACATTGAAGGATATGGCAACGAACCGGCAGCAGTGGCGTTCGTGTTGTCGTATCTTATCAGGTCAGAATGCTTGAAACGGTATGTATGCAGAGTTCGATTGCGTACTCTGTGTTGACCATAGTGGCTCATCTTCTTCTCCCTTCCTCAAAATAGATCCAACCCCACCTTAAACTTTACCACTAACCTTGTATGCATTGTGAGTTTGGCAGCGGTCAGTGAAGTTCGCTGTACGATGATGATGATGCATTCCTTCATGCCTCGTCCCCATGTGGCTTTCTCCAATTTGGAGCGCCCACTACAAATAAGACACGGCGACCGTCAGGTATATGTAAAAAATGTCCTAACCAATAGAGCTTTTGGAGATGAATTTGATACGATGGTGAGTTCCTTTTCGATGCATTCCTGAACACCCGACGAGTTACTAGCCCGCTCACTCGATCCTACTTGGGCCAGACTACGAAAGCTTCGATTTTCGAAGATCTCCAGTCGACGGATATCTTCTACCCTCAAATTCAATGTATCACAACCGTAAAGCATAACTGATAGTACATTGGAGAAGTATACGCACCTTATCAACTTCGGTGAACTATCATGACGTCGCGACAGGTGTTTTCGTCCTGCATACGCTGTTTGAGCCTAGGAAATACAGGCGGTTATCTCCTTTAACGCGCTACCGTCGTTGGTCATGA